GTCGGAATTGGAAAGCATCAGCCACATAGTTTGCATTCTCTATCTGTTGTCGGGTCAATTTTATTTCAGAACAACCTGAAGCTCTTCGGGTTACTTAAAAGCTAGATATACCTGGATTCACCAATACATTTAACCAAAACATTAATACATGTCAGTTTTACACTTCCAAAAGTCCTACACACACATAGCAAAAATAAAAAACAGAGCAACACAAAATTCACCAAGGGTATACACAGAATAACCATTCCAGTTAAGGAATAAAAGGGTGAATAACACGCAGCTAAGTGATTTATGCACAGATGAATTGGTTTGAGAACCACCATAGCTTTTGGGGTAGACTTGGGTTGTGGCGACTGAGGGAGCATTTTTGGCGATGTTTGAGGTGGTGGGCTCGAGTTAGAGAAGCTGAAGCGGAAGAGACCAAAGGATTGGGGTTTGGTTAGTATAGAGGAGAGAAGGAAAGTGATGAGTTTCATTAAATTATTAAAAATACACTTTCATAAAAACATAAAATCCACCTCCACTTGCTGGTAGGGAATCCACGTGGGCAGTTAAATGCCATCTCAACACTGTTGTGCACACCTGGACTGTTTGTCGTTAACGATTTAAACGACGTTTCCAAAAAGGACCAAATTGAACAGATTTTACATTCTTTAGGACCACCTTGAACAAAAAAAATCAAATGGATCGAAACGAACGCACTTGACCAAAATAGGAACCAAAAGAGGTATTAAGCCCTAAATATATCAACAGTAATAATAATAAGATTTCTAATTCTCTAACATAAACAATTCAATCATAATGAATTACTCGATCTTCAACTTCGAGTTGGGTGTAGGTTTAGGGTCTAGGGTTTAGGGTATAGGGTTAAGGATGTAAAATTTAAGGTTTGAGGTTTAGGGTTAAGGGTTTTTTGTTCAGAGTTAAGGGTTTAAGGTTGTGGGTGTAGGCTTTAAGGTTTAGGGTGTAGGGATTAGGGTGTAGGATTTTGGGTTTAGGATGTAGTGGTTAGGGTTTAAGGTGTAGTGTGTAGGCTTTAGGGTATATGGTTTAAGACTTTTGGTTTAGGGTTTAGGTTTTTTGGTTTGGGTTTAATGGTATTTGGTTTAAGGGCATTGTTTAAGGTTGATGGTTAAGGGTTTAAAGTGTAGGGTGTAAGGAGGAGAGAGGTAAGGAA